TGCATGAGACAAGTGCTCGGGCCTGGTGCACTGGGAAGACCCAGAGGGATCGGGTGGAGAGGGAGGTGGGAGGGGGGACCGGGATGGGGAATACATGTAAATCCATGGCTAATTCATTTCAATGTATGACAAAAACCACTGCAATGTTGTAAAGTAATTAGCCTCCAACTAATAAAAATAAATGGAAAAAAAAAAGTGTTCATTCAACCTGCTGCCTCTCTGGAATCTATTTTTTGTTTTTAATCTCTCCAAATGATCTAAGTTTACCTAAAACAACTGTTGTAGTATCTTGATGACTCTGGGAAAATCATTCAAATATGTATAACAGGAGCCAAAATGCCTGCCTGTTGTGAAAAATAGAATGATGTGTGTCCATTCAAGAAGAACGTGCTGTATCTATCTAGGGTTTATTGCTGTCTTTTTATAGGAAGATAGTTTCACTATTAGTAGGATGAGTAGCTTTTTTCATCAGAAATGATGCAGTAGATGATGACCTCACCTTGTCCTCCTCATCCCTCATACACAAGTCAGCTTCTGGGTTAGTGATACAGGGTACAGACTTATGCTTCTCCATGACAGGTGATCACCAATACACTAAATGAAATGTAGTAAGCTAAGGAATTCAGCCTCCTTATTTTCTAACTGAAACAATGAAGACTATGCTGCTAGGTATGTGCTGTTCACATGTGTGTGTAACTGCATATGATTTTTTTTTGTATATGAATTTTTATATAAATATTTTATATCTCCTTCCCAGCACCTGGATTATGATAATATTAAGTTAGCAGGCCACACCATTCAGAAGATACAGGAAATTAACAATCCTGAGGAAAGAGGATATTGGATTCTACTTGAGAGGGTGAAACATCCAGCTCCTAATGAAAAACAACTTTTAACACAGTAGTATCACCTTCCAAGTGTTTAGTAAATATTAAGCTCTCTTTTCACACTTTCAAAGGCTTAAAGCACCACATAGGTTGGTTGCAGGTCCCCTGCAACTCCAAAAGCCTATAATTCTAGTACTGACTGGAATTTAAGAAATCTGATTTCTAGTCCAGGCTGTTTCCCTAACATGCAATGTGATTTCAGGCATAATATTCAAGCCTGTGTGGACTCTTCACCTATAAAACAATATTTCTTAGCACTCTTTCATCATTGATTTCCTGACAGAGGATCCAAAGTAAATAAATCAAAAGTCATTTATTCTTTTAAACAACTTAAACATATTTTAAATACTGATGAAAAACTTTTCTTTTTTGGTTGGGGGGGTCTGAGTTAAATTAGTCTGAATACCCATAAACTGCAAGGAAATCCTACTTCTAAAAGCATTAATTTCATCAAGAAATATAGTAATTAAAAGAACATTTACTGTAAATTTAAATTTAGTTTTCTTTCACCTCAAAGTGTCAGGTAATGTAAGGCTCCCATCTAAACCACTTTTTTTAATCTTCAGATTTAAAATTTTAATGAATAGGTTTTTTAAAGTGGTGTGTAAGGTACAGAAACTTGCTATTTTTTTATACATCAAGTGATCAAGATCTCATCTGTAAGATAAACTCATTTTCATAAAGTACTTCATTATTCGTCATACCGGTTGGTCACAAAGTGAGCCTTATTGTACTGCAGCAACTGGATTTTTTTTTTTGTCTCATAACAGTTCAATAAAATAAACTGGCAAATAAGAGTTTCAAGATAGAAAAGCAAGGGGGCTTCATATCCTATTCAGAATTACCATAAAAACATATTTTGGGTGTAGGATTAACGTGTGATCTACATGCTTTGATCTACTGCGCCTGGGCTGGAATCCTAGCTTTTGTCTCTATCTTGCTCTGTGGCCCCTAGGCAAGCCATTTAATTGAAGCCATTTAAGTAGCCTCACTTCAAACGTGTTGGGAGGATAAAATGGTATCAACAGTAGCATTCTAAAAAGAACAAAGAAATTAATACACAAATATCACTGCTGTGACCAACTGGCTCAATCATTTAAGTGCCTGTGGTGGGGGTGGTTGGAAGGGTTGGAACCCTACACTATTTCATTCCATTAATTTCTTTCTGAATCCCATTGTTTTTCGCAGAGCCAAAGAGGCCCAAGGTTATCTATGCATTAGTCCACATACTTCACCATTATGGGTACAGCCTCCTTATTAATCTTTCTCAGGCCTGGCGTTCAGCCAGAACAGAGAGCTGTCATAACGTTAAGACTCAGGCACATTCTACTTCATATGTTCACTATCAAGCTTTTTCTCTTGTGAGGCAGCATCAGGAGCAGAAACCTATCTGGAAGCTAAAGATGCGTGAGCAGATTAGAATCACTGCTCTCTAATGGCCTTCTAAGCCTACAGGTGGGCACTGTCCATTCCGAGCCGATGGAGTCAGCAGTTCTCAAAAAGCTCTGAGCCAACGGCACGCATTCTCTCCACGAAGCGTCATTTCTTAAAAGTCTTTTCGCTAGAAAAGTGCCTGCAAATGACGGACATGTCTGAGGGGGGAAGAATGGGAACCCTAGTGACAGTCTTTGGTGGTGTTACTGCACACCGTGGACCTTCCAGAGGAAACTGACTAGGGGGTGGGGCTGGCTTTCAGTCTACTACCCGGCATCGGTACCCGGTGTCAGCTGGCCTCCGTAGGAAAGGTTGAGATGGCCTTCCAGCGACTCGATGGTGGAGTGAGTGGGCTATTTGGCCCCCCCCCCCGGGGGGGGGGGAGGAAGAAACTGAAACAAGTGTTTATGCGATGTGACAAAACAAACCAATCCCCCACCCCACCCCCTCAACCTCACAGCCGAGCAGGTCTGCAACAAGCATCCCTAGGAACCTTCTCTCCCCCAATCCCTTCCCTTAAATGAGAGCAAGCGCCCGGGAAGGCGCGGTGGGGGGTGCGCATTACCGTCCTGCAGGACGAGGGTGGGCTGCACCGCCTGCACTCGGAACTGTCTGGCCCTCCAGCCGGGGCTCGGCGCCCGCACCACCTCGCTGTCGGACAGCCAGGTCACGGTCTCGAAGTTGTCCCCGCGGGCCAGCGCCTCGGCCTCGGCGTGGTGCACCGCCACCCGGTCGAACTGGTAGAGGCCACCCGAGTGGTCGAAATGCACGTGGGTAGCCACGGCTAGCAGCGGCCGGCAAGCCGCGTCGTCTCTGGCCGCGCGGTCCCGCAGGAGGCCGGAGGAGTACAGGTACTCGGGGAGGCTGCGCAGCCCCAGGCCGGTGTCTATCACCACGTCCTGCTCGGAGCCCCGCACCAGCCAGATGTTGGCGCGGTTGCCAGACTCGTAGAAGCGTTCCTGAATCCAGAAGATGCCGTCGCCCAGGGACTTGTGGGCGTACCACTCGAGCGCCGACATGCTGCGCCGGGTATGGCGGCCCAAGCCGAGCGGGAGTTTGTAGGCGCGCGCGCGCGTGTGCCTTCCCGCGGGCGGGCTGCAGCGGTGTGGAGCCGTCTGCCCGCAGCCGGGGACTAGGCGCAGAGCCGGGAGGGGGCGGGCGGGGGATGCGGCTGCGGTGTGTGTGTGTGAGTGTGCGTGTGTGCGCGCTAGGCGAGGAGAAAGGACTCGCGGAGAGGCGCTGCCTCTGGAGCGTCCACCCGCACCCTCACGCTGGGTCCGCGGAGAGCAGACGCCGCTCTCCCCGCGCCGGGGCGCCGGAAGAGTCGCAGCCGTGACTGGCCGCAACACCAGGAACGTTAACGCACGGGCCAGTGCAGTAGTCGGGAGATCCAGAAAGTGACACGCTTCCTAACCTCGGGGTGGTCGGACCGCAGAGGCCTTAGAGCGACAGTGGGGGTGGGAGAAAGCCAGGCTGCCCGCCCGCCGCGCGCCTCGACGCGCATTTCCAGCCGGCGCGGAAAGANAAGGGCGCGGGGGCGGGAAGGGCGCGGGGGGCGGGGGCGGGGCCGGACGACTACGGCGCCTGCCGAGGGCTAAAAAAGCTCTGGGCCCGGAGGGCGGGGCCTAGCTCGGGAGTGGGCGGGGATAACTAGTTGGGATCCGAACGCCGCTCAGAGGCCGCGTGGAGGGAGGAGCGCGCCTTCTCCAGAGGTGGAACCGGCCCTGGAGCGCCGGAACCTTCGGTCTGCACCCCTTGGTTGCCGGCCGGCACTTAACGGCTGTACGCTTTCCCCGAGCCTGGAGACTTAGCGAACAGGTAACTGAGGAAGCAGTCGAGGGCTTGGGAGAAGTTGGGGGTGTCGGGGGGGGGGGGTAGTTAAAGGGGCACGTGGAGAAGGTGGGAGGAAGTCAGCCTTGGAGATTAAAGAGCCTCTGGGTTGCGGGTTGTTGGAAGATAGCTTTTAGCTCCCCTTCTCCTAATCCCTTCACACTCTTAAAAAATAGTTTCCACAGCTTACCTAGTCTACACTTCTTAGGACTCTGCGGCGAGTTAGAAGGGAATTGATGCTCTTACTGATGGTCAGTTTTCAGTGCCGACGGTGTGATGGGCTCAAACGCGAATCACTGCCGCAGGCTTGCAGCTAAGGACAGGATATTCAGTATGTTTTCTTAACTGTTAGCACTTTATCCTGTATCCCAGGGAGGGATGTTGTTGATAAGGTTTTTCTTCTCTTCTAAAAGAATTATATATTCGTTCCCCTGCCTTCCCTTGTTTTTGTTGAGTTTGTCCGCTCTTGGAAGAGACTAAAGAAAGTTGGTAGAGATAAACTAAAGAGAGGTGGAAGCAGCCGCACCTTGAGAAGACAGGGAAAGTGGATAATGACATGGGTGTGGCCCCACCAGCCGCAGAGATCACCCCCACTAATAACACCAGGTTCCTCCTGTCCCCATCCCGCATCTTCTCGCTGTTGAAACACCCATTTAGGCTTTAGAAATTCCTTTGAGAACTTGTAAACCTCCCTGCTCAGTCAGGAAAAATTATGAAGACTCATGAGACAGCATTATGGAAGATAATTATGAAAACACTTACTGTGGCAGCTACTAATAAGCCTTCATAGAGGGAGAGGTGTGTTCTCCTCCCCTACAGTTAAGTCTTGGATGAGGATGTAGCCTTTCTGAATATTTTCCTAACCTAGTTAGAATTTATCCAGACATTCAGTTCTGCAAACTAAGTGATGTGTAAAAATACAGAAAATTCTTTTTTTAAAGATCACAATCTGGGTTCTCAAGGAATTTGAAGGAAGATAATATTTGCACACAAATGTTGGCAATATAAAGCAAATGAGATATTTCCCCAGAGGAAGTTAAAAACTAGGTTCTATGACAATATGCATGGAAGGAACTGTCTCGGAGTAGCAATTTGAGCTGGCCTTAAAAGACCACTGTTGGTTAGCACGATCTCAGCAGGGACATACAGACCTCTCTATAATTTTATTTTTCCTCTAGTCAAAGGGAGGTGAATTGGAGTGATATCCTTACCAAGCTATGAGCTCAGCAATAATTCTCCCAATTTTTATTGGACTTTTGCCAGGCTTTGGTTAGTAATAGGGCAGGAAAAGGTGAATGAGTCTTCAAAGAGGCCCTTCACACTTACAGATCCTTCTGCTTGTACCCTTTCCTCTATATATCCTTTCCTAGTTCTCAGCATGGCTTTTTCCTTCCCTGTGTCAGGTTTGTGTTCAAATATTACAAGATACTGGAGAACTTCTTTATCCAGTCTTTCTATAATAGCACCCATGTTTCCTGCTTTTTTTTTTTTTCATAGCACTGATCACTACCTGACATTTTCTATAAAGTACATTTTTTCCCCCATTTCCCATAATAGATTGTGAGCACTATGAAAGCAGGGATTTTGTTTTGTTCACTATTCAAATTATGTAGAAGATGGTCTGACACAGAGGGTACTTAGTTAATACTTGAAGAGTGGATAATTGAAGAAATTACTGAGGAGACAGACAAGAACTGACAGTTACAGCATGATATTTAAAAGGGCAATAAAAGCAGTGTGCATGCTATGTCACTTCAGTCATGACCAACTATGCGACTCTATGGACCACAGACTCTATGGACATAGGCTCCTCTGTCCATGGGATTCTCCAGGCAAGAATACTAGAGTGGGTTGCCATGCCCTCCTCCAGGGTATCTTCCCAGCCCAGGGATTGAACCAGCATCTCTTATGTCTCCCTCATTGGCAGGCAGGTTCTTTGCCACTAGCGGCACCTGGGAAGCCCCCAAAGCGGTGTAGTACCTGGGAAACAGGAAAGAGATAGGTCTGCCCCCACTTAGGGTGGAGGAAATCAGAAGAGAAGTAGTATTTACATAGTACTTTCAGTGATGATGGGGCTTGGTCAGGTGGGCATGGCATCCCAGGCAGAAGGAGGACAACATGCGACAGCATGCAACATGCTATCCCAAGGATAGCAGCCTTGGGAGTGGTTAGAGCTGAGGTGGGAGAAGGCCATGGCACCCCACTCCAGTACACTTGCCTGGAAAATCCCATGGACCGAGGAGCCTGGTAGGCTGCAGTCCATGGGGTCTCAAAGAGTCAGACATGACTGAGCAACTTCACTTTCACTTTTCACTTTTATGCATTGGCGAAGGAAATGGCAACCCACTACAGTGTTCTTGCCTGGAGAATCCCAGGGATGGGGTCGCACAGAATCGGACATGACTCAAGTGACTTAGCAGCAGTAGCAGAGCTGGGGTGGGAGGGTGGTGCAGTATGCAAGAGGTGGAAAGTTAGACCCCAAAGCTCTGTTAGTTAAGAGGATGATACATTAAGGTTTGTGTTCAAGAAAGATGACTGGAGAATGGGTTGAAAGGATGAGTCTAGCCTTTAGAGGGGCTTCCCAGGTGGATAAGTGGTAAAAATTCTGCCTGCCAATGCAGAGAGACGTGGCTTCAATCCCTGGGCCAGGAAGACCCCGTGGAGGAGGAAATGGTAACCCACGCCAGTATTCTTGCCTGGGAAATTCCATGGACAGAGGAACCTGGAGGGCTACAGTCCATGGGCTCCTGAAGAGTCAGACACGACTAAGCGATTGAGTATGCACAGGCGGCCATGAGAAGTTTACTTGTTCTGTATTAGAGATCCAGTCAAGAGATGGTGAAGCCCTGAACCAAGGCAGAAGTAAAGAAAGGCAAACTTGTAAGAAGGGACACAGAGCTGATTGTCTTCTATGGTTAGATGAGGGGATCAAGGGAGATGGAGACAAGGTCAGCATGACTATTAGTTTCTAATTAGGGTAATTTAGGTGTCATTCATCAGGAAAGATACTGTGACCTGGCTTTCAGTGCCTCTTCTAGCTTCCATGTCTGCTTGTATCTGTTTGTGTATTATTCACCTACGTAGTATGTGCAGCAAACTTAACCTTGTGAGACGTGGAGGATAGCACAGTTAAGCCACAATTGTAACTCACAAAATGTTAGAGTGAGGAGGAGCTTCAGAGATCCTGTCACAAGGTTGTTTCTGTGATTAATTAGCATAGGCTTTCGCAGGTCAGCTCCTGGATGCTTGAACTGCACCCATGAAGCTCTCAGAACAATTTTGAATACGAATTTTCAGGAGGCATCCCAAAAAAGGAAGGGTAGTACATCTGATGTTACATCTTTCAATCCAATCTATTTTGCCATTACTATTTCAGTTCATTGTAAAGATTAAAGGTATTGCTGGGATTTGAAAGGTCTTCAGCTAACCTCGAAGTGTGCTACGGGCAGCCTAATACAAATATGCGGACAATGGAAAGGTAACCTGAACTTTTAACACAGTTCTGGCTTTGTTAGGAATTAGCTCTGTCTTCAAGCACCCCATTGGCCTTTCAGTGCCTCACTTTCCTATATAATGGGAAGTCAGTCTGAAGCCTTGGTTCTTAATTTAGATTACACATTGGAGTCTCCTGGGATGCTTTAAAAAGTCCTGCCGCCCAAATCCTACCTCTACAGATTCTGATTTCATTGTTCTGGGGTGGTGTTTGAGGGTTTTTCTTTTTCTTTATGTTGTTGTTTGTTTAAATGTCCTGATGATTCCAGCGTACAGCCAGGTCCCGAACCACTTCCAGAAGATAACAAACAAAAACAAAAATTCTTAATAGTGGGCTGAATAAGTTGTATTTCTGTGGATAAGTTAGTTCACCATTAGTTCAGTTCACTGGCTTAGTCGTGTCTGACTCTTTGCAACCCCATGGACTGCAGCACACTAGGCTTCCGTGTCCTTTACCAACTCCTGGAGTTTGCTCAAACTCATGTCCATTGAGTCAGTGATGCCATCCAACCATCTCATCCTCTGTCGTCATCCCCTTCTCCCGCCTTCAATCTTTCCCAGCATCAGGGTCTTTTCTAGTGAGTCATTTCTTCCCATCAGGTGGCCAAAGTATTGGAGTTTCAGCTTCAGCATCAGTCCTTCCAATGAATATTCAGGATTGATTTCCTATAGAATTGGCTGGTTTGATCCTTGCAATCCA